CATTCACACCCCAGGTATTAGGGGTGCTCCCTCATTTATTATAACTGGGAGGAAATTTATCTACCAGCAAGCAGCTGGTGGTCTGCACACCAAGGAGTGCCTGGCTTGGCTCTGGTGTTTATTATTTTAGCTGAAGACCACACATCACAGATGTAATACTTCAGTTCCTCTTATTTGCTTTAAGCCAATACAGTGAATCCTGGAGATATTGATAGAGCTCCACAGAAACCTGTATCCCTAATTTTTATTGAACAAACATTTATGGAGCTTCTGTTATGTTGCCAGGAACTGTTCTGGCTGAAAAAAAAACAGGCAAGTCTCTGCTCACACAGAGCTTGAATTTTTTTTTTATTAAAATTTATTTGGGTGACTGTGGTCACCAAAACTATATAAGGTTTCAAGTGTACTATTCTATAATACATCATCTATACATCACATTGTGTGTTCACCACCCAGAGTCAGTTCTCTTTCCATCGCCACATATTTGACCCCCTTTACCCTCTTCTACCTTCCCCCTTGCCCCTTACCCCCTGATAACCACTAAACTATTGCCTGTGTCTATGAGTTTTTGTTTCTTTATTTGTTTGTGTGTTCCTTTGTTGCATTTTAATGTGGGAAAAATAGACAGCAAGCAAGTAACCACATAATGCGTCAGGCAGTGCTAAATTTACTTATGAAGAATAAAGCAGGATAGGGTGGTCAGAGAGTCAGTCAGGAAAAGCCTCACTGAGCAACGCGCATTTGAGCAGAGGCTAAAGGGAGCAAGGAAGCAAGCCACAGAGTCTGCTGGAAGAGCATTCTGAGGATAAGAGACAGCTAAGGCAAGCATCCTGAGAAGAGTTTATGTAGCTCCTGCCATCCTGTTATACAGTCTGTGTGACATAGACTCATGCCGCAGGCCTAGCAAAAAAGGGGGCTGATTTCCTTTTGCTTCATTTCCTTTCCTTCTTATCTTTCCCTCTTTTCCTCCCTCTCTTCCTTCCCTCCTCTCCTGTCCAAACCTTTGCTTCCTGAAGAAACATCTCCAACCCCTTTGCTCTGGGGTAAATGCACTACTGATGATAAACCTCAGATGCTTTGGTGGTGGGACAAGTTTCCCTTTTCTGGAACCTTGTGACCCTGATGCTAAGGGAGAAAGAGGCTTTTGTATTGTACCACAAGGTTAGGAGAGGGGAAGGCAAGGTTTATGGCTTCTATTAGCAGGATATGCTAGCAAGAACTTTGTTGCACGGACTCCCCCAGGTCAGGATTTGAAGAAGCCTGTCCCCACCTCAATGCCCCCACCATGGAGCAGAGGATGACTGGAGGGTTATAATAGAAATCAGATAAGAGGATGGGCAGGACCTGGGGAAGGGGAGCAGGTAATGAAAGGGTTTAAAAGGGCCAAGGGACTGTGTGAGTGTGGTTGTGTGTCGTTGCAAGGAAGATGGTATAGGACGGATGAGCTCTGCTGACTGAGTGCTTAGCCACAAGGTACTCTCCAGAAGTCTAAGGTGAAGTCCGTGTGTCTATGGATGGATCTAGAGATGAGATGGGTGGTGTAGAAAATCTATTTCTGAAACTTCCCCCACTGCACACTAACCCCCACATCTACCCCTTGCTGACTCAGTACAGGTAGAATTAATCCTGAACCCAAAGAGATGAGCTCAGAATTTTAGACTCCTGTGAATTTGCTTGACTTGCTGATCTTAGCCATTTTTGGTACTGATAGTGCCACCTCTTCTTTCAGTGTTAAGGATGTACTCTTAAAACACGACTACCTAGAAGCTGGCATCCTAAATTTCCTAGAATAGAGTGAGAGTGTGTTGAGACCTCATTGTTATTTTGCTTCTCTCTCAGCTTTTACCTACCTTTCTCCACCTGTGAAAAGTATGTATCCTCTTTTAAAAGCACTTATAACTCTCTCAGAATTTGTTAGGTTAAAATGAGACACCATTACCCTCCTTAGTGCTAGCCCCAAAAGTAATTCTATGCATTTGACTGAGTTGTATATTAACAGTTGTTGACTAAGTTTCACTCCACATCTTTACAACCTAACTGTAGCACTAGTAAATCTAGCTGCTAAGTCTGCATCCTTATTTAATCCATCTGCCTCTTAGCTATCAGCTCACACAAATACAAGTCACCGTAGAGCCTCGTTACATTCATTCAAGGAGTGACAGTTATCAGGGATTAGTGTGAGGGACACACGTGTGGTACATTCAGCTAGGGTCTTTCCTGCCGTGTACAAACTGATAACACAGAAAATTATCAGGCCAAGCCTTGATAATTAATCCTTTGTTAATCTTGGACATAGTAACCCTCATATTGCCCGATTATATGTGATAGAATCATTACATGTTAGTTGTCAGTGTATCGTACCTAAATCTGGCATATTTGGATTGCGTGCAATTTCTCTTATTTGTTCTCTTTCGGTGGAAGAGATATCCCTTACCAGAGAAAATCCTTATCTACTTGAGCACTGATTATTACCCTTCAGTCTTGTTGTCACTAGGTTAAATTGCCTGTCTGGCTCCTGATTGCTCAGCCATTTATCTACCTGGGACTCCCCTTCCCTGGGCCTCCGCATGGCACTCAGTTTGCTGTGATCCATAGCTGACTGTCTTATAATTCTGTGATGTAGACAATGAGATGCAGGTAATAGATCATACAGCCAAGTGGATTATGTATCAAGAATCGCAGGGACAAGTGGACACATAGTTGCTCTGGGCCTGACCTCTGATGGCCAAGAGAATTTGAAAGAATTTGTCCATATTTGTGTGAGAAGATGTGACTGCCCCCACAGAGAGAACAGTGCCCCTTCCCTGGAAAACATATAAAAATCTGCCAACGGCTTTCTCTTCCACACTGTACATGCTCCACAGCTACCCCTCCTCCATGCCGGACACCCACTATGTCTATGCCAGTTGGAATTGCTTTGTAGAATGACAGACATTACTGATGGGAACCTATTACATATATAAACCATCTGGGGGCCTAAACAAAGTTGAAATCTCAGACTTAAAATATGGGTCAACACTACAGATTAAGGAAACTGAAATAGAGGAGAAACAGGTCGATTTCCCTCTCATTGCCAAGGAGTTCCAATGGGTTCAATCAAACTACCCTCTCTTGGGACTACATCAAGTTGATGAGAGCCCCATCAAATCAAACCACCCAGCTGCCCAGGGGAATAGCTAGATATGAAGTTCAGCTGTGCCCAGAAAAGATCCTCCAGGACCATGCTAGTTCCAGGGTCCATCCCAAATCCAATCCAACCATCAAGAATAATAATAATAACAACAATAATAATAATAATGATAAACCATCCACATACATTCAGGACTTAAGGGGTTCCTGGAATGCAGGACTTTTACTACCAAAATTAGATAAGTTCTGGACAAATCAGGATGAATTGGTCACCTATGAGAGACCATAATTATGTATTAATAAGTAGTAAGTTAGGTACAACCCTTTCATTTCCAGTGCTATTATAGCTCTAGGGAGATACTTTACTTGGCTATAAAAATGGAGAGCTATGGTAATCATGTGTAAGTAATGTACACTCTGAGGCTATTTATATTAAAAAACAAACAAACTAAAGTCTGTTCTGCAAATACCTGTAACTCAATCAGTTACTCCAAAATTTGCTTTAAGTGATAACATTTTATGTAATTTGACAACCACTTCTAAAATAAGTGATTAAAGGCTTCAATAAAAAAAGGAATGGTCTGAAAACAACTCTCAGGAATTATAAATATTCTAAGATATTGCCCCATTAGAAGCTCTTTGAGTCTTGTTTTTACATTTCATGCCAACAAAGGTTGCTTAGCAACAGTCAGCCATCTCTTTTCTCTCATTAATTTAATCTTCTACCTGAACAATTGCAGACTACAGGGAACAAAAGCTACTGCTCTGTGATGACTTGCTCTTCTCAGTTCATAAACAGAAAAATGAGGATTGTTTAAATGTGATGGTACCTAATGCTCCTACCAAGGTTTTACAGCCTGAAGGACGTGTTACTAAAAGAAGCTCTGTTTTAATGTTGTCTTAATACATTGAAACCCGTCTAAGAGTGAAAGAGGTTTAAGCACCAATAACTCTGGAAAGGCCATTGCTTAATTAGCCTGGTATCTTTGTGCCCCAGAATCTTTACCCAGTTATCAGTTGATGGAGGGAGGGGGATGGAAACTAACATTGTTGAGGACCAACTTTGTGCTATGCCTTAACTAAGTGATGGTTTAATTGGGCTCTTAGAATTGGACTTGGACTAAACCAGGTGGGGTTTTTCATTTAAGGGGTGTGTGTGTGTGTGTAGGAAGGCGGGAAGGAGTTTGGACAGAGACAGAGATCATATAGGACTCCAAGAGCGAGGGCCCCAGCAGGATTCAGCATTATGGAGCCTGGAACCACATCGTTAATCATCCCCAGGGACCTCAGCAGAAAGATCTCACTCAATTTTCCTTTAGTGTTCCGTTTTCCTAGCATACTACCACTCTCAGTCTGCTCTTCTCCTTGTGTGGCTTATTGAGTCTCCTTTTGCATGCACACACATTCTCTCTCTCTGCCCTTTTTCCTTATCCTAGCCACAGACCTTAGCTTATTCAAAACTCAGTGCTACTGCTCCCACGTATTGGCCTGCTCAGGGTCCCCCACTTACCTCAGGGACTCTCTCTGTGTGTGGTTCTTCCAGCTTCAGCTCTTATACTAACTTCTTGATTATCTCTAGACTTCTCAAGCCAAGTACCCAAAAGTGAGTTTTTTAGTCAAAGCAATGTCATAGGTCAAAGGTCAGCTGTAAATCAGTAATATGTAGATCAAGTGCACAACCCTGGCCCAATCAACTGGCACCAGGGTGAAGGAGTTATTATGGGTTAAATCGTGTGCCCTCAAAATTCACATGTTGAAGTCCTAACCCTAAATACCTCAGAATGTGACCTTATTTGGAACAGGGTCATTGTAGATGTGATTAGTTAAATTTGGATGAGTCATACTAGAGTGAGGTGAGCACCTAATTCAATATGACTGATGTCTTTATGAGAAGGGGTAATTTGGACACAGACATGCCCACAGGGAGAAAGCTATGTGAAAAGACACAGGAAGACAGCCATTGACAAGCCAAAGAGAAAAGCCTGAAACAGATGGTTCTCTCACAGCCCTTGGAAGAACCCACCCTGCCAACACCTTGATTTCAGACTCTGGTCTCCAGAACTGTGAGATAATAAGTTTCTGTTGTTTAAGCCTCCCAGTTTGTGGTACTTGGTTATGGCAGCCCTAGGAAATTATCCAGATATTGGTGCCTGGATGTGGGGTGCTGTCATAACAAATACCTAAAAATGTGGAAGTTGGTTTGGAATTGGGTAATGGTTATAGGCTAAAAGAGTTTTGACTCTAGATTGCTCTGAAGAGACTGTTGGAAAAAATATGGATGTTAAAGGCAATTCTGTTGAGGATTCAGAAAGAAAGAGCTATAGAGAAAGGTTTTATTGTCTCAGAGAATATGTATATTGTCATGAGCAGAATGTTGCCAAAAACATGAATGTTCTTAGTCAGCCTGGACTGCAATAAAATAAAAAATCATAGTGTTTCTCTTCTGGGGATGGTGCCTACAAGCATTCAGAACGGTCCAGCGCTGGACATACTGTAGGAGGCTCTCCTACAATACAGCTTCCAACAAAACTAGGCTGTCCCGAACCCCTGGGAATAGAATTGTTTACCTTTATACCAAGAAGGTTGGGAAAGCACCAAAGTCTGCAAGTGGCGTGCGCCCGGGCCGACTTCGCAGAATTCGTGCTGTGAGACGTCAAGTTCTAATGAGTTTGTCTAAAACAAAAAAATATGTCAGCAGGGCCTATGGTGGATCCATGTGTGCTAAATGTGTCCGTGACAGGGTCAAGCGTGCTTTCCTTATCGGGGAGCAGAAAACTGTTGAGAAAGTGTTGAAGGCACAAGCACAGAATCAGAAAGCTAAATTTAAAAATGAAGATTTTTTGAATAATAAACACAATTAAAAGGCAAAAAAAAATCATAAACTAGGTGACCTAAACAACAGACATTTATTCCTCATAGTTCTGGAGGCTGGAAGTCCAAGATCAAGGTGCCAACAGATTAGATGCCTGGTGAGAGCCCTCTCCCTGATTTAGAGATGGCTGCCTTCTCTCTGTGTCCTCATATAGTGGAGAGAGGGCTCTAGTTACTCTTCCTCTTCTCATAGGGACACTAATCCCACCACAATGTCCCTATCCTCATGACCTCATCTAAACCTAATTACTTCCCAAGGTTCCACCTCCAAATACCATCATCACATTGAGCATTAAGGTTTCAATATATGAATTTTGAGGGGAACACAAACCTTCAGTCCATAACAGAGATCTCAGACGAAATGAGGAAGGTGTTATTGGATACTAGAGGAAAGGTGATCCTTGTGACAGAGGACTTGGCTGAATTGTGTTCTGTTGAATGGAAAGTGAAATTCATAAGCAATGAACTTGGATATTTAGCTGAAGAGATTTCTAAGCAAAGTACTGAAGGTATAGCCTGGTTTCTCCTTGCTGCTTATAGTAAAATGCAAAAACATAGAAATAAATTGAAGGAACTGCGAAGCAAAAAAGAACCAGCACTTGATGATTTAGAACAGGGGTGTCAAACTGGCAGCCCGCGGGCCGCATGCGGCCCTCCAGGTAATTTTTTGTGGCCCGAGATGCTCTGAAATAAAATGAAAATAGAAAAAATTGTTATGAAGAAAATAGCGCTTAGGGGAGATCGAGGCAATACCTACACACAATTCCCTCGTTAACCCTTTAACTACTGAAGATGAGTATACACGTGGCCCAGTGCCTTTCCTGGGGGCCTGTGGGCGTGTATAAACGCGCTGACTCAGTTCCGGCGACGTTTGGAAGCGATATGTCTGCCACTCTCAGTCTCACCTAATGTAAACAGATCCCAATAGCGAAAAGGTTAAAAAGAGCACTCGGGTAAAAAAAGAATAATTTTAGTTTTATAAATACATTAAATAAAATAAATGTTTAAATAAAAGCAATTATATAGTGTTTTAATTATCCTATCCATAGTCCTGAATCCTCACTTCAGAATATAAATTTAACAAAATTTGTAAATATGATGTGGCCCGCGTGAATCTTGCCTGTTGCACCAAATGGCCCGTGTTTTAATTGAGTTTGACACCCCTGATTTAGAAGATTCTTAGCCTATCAGATAGCTCTGCAAACAGAGCCAGGGGTCTGGCTGGATAGCCGTTTGCTAAAGAGATTAGGTGTGTGATTCATGGATTCAATCAATCATCTCAGCGGGAGCTAATAGAGATGTAGTTATCCAAAAAAGATCTGTGGAAGATCCTCTTGTCTGGTGGCTTGGATCCCCATGAACTGCATGAGGGGTCAACAGTATTTTGATAATTTTGTATCAAGAGGAACACTGCCAGCCAGGACTGAAAGGAACAGAGATGGGATTAAATAAAGGAAGAATGAGTTTGAGGGCAAATCCATGAATGCTGAAGCTGGAAGAGCTGCCACAACTAGTGCCATCTCCTCCTCAGTTTCAGAGGGCAGGCTGCCATCCAAGATCGAAATTAATACAGGAGGCCACGCTGTTGTAAACATGGCAGCAGGAAATTTGGGCAGGAATGTTCCTGCAGGGTTGTGGGCCTGGTGAATATCTGGTAGAGGAGTTTTACATATTTTATGTAATTTAGTTTTCACAGCAACCTTGGGCATCAGCTTTTTTCTCCTCATTTTGCCAGCTTGGAGACTAAGCAATTTTCTTGAGGTCTCATGTTTGGTAAGTGGAAGAATCAGATTTTAAGCTGTGGTTGGGTTACAAAGTCTTTTCAGTTCACCACAAGGGATATTGAACCTGGAATTTTGTAATTGAACCTGGAAGTTTGTCATTACAAAAAAGATGTTAAACAAAATTAACTAAACTCATTCAATAGAATGAAAACTAAATACACTTTACTATTCAGATATCTTAAGCATGAGTGTGTATATCTGTATATCTATATATCTATCTATGTTTATATTTATATCCATATCTATCTGTGTGTGTATGTGTGTATGTACATAAAACAAATCATAAATAGCATAGTCCTGGTAATAACTTCCAACTCTTCATTCCTTCTTAACTAGAAATTGCTGAAACCCTGAGCCAAGGGAAATGTTTCTTTTTCATTTATTGTCAATCTCTAGATTTTCTCCCTTTCTAAAGGCATTCGCCACCCTCATCATCTGCATTTGAAATGGCCACTTCCTTACAGAAGAGTTTTGAAAGCTGTTTTAGAGAATTCACAAATCTCTTGGTAGCAATGTTTTTTCAAGTTCATTCTTTAAGTCTTCATTACATGCTGCAATTTAAGAAGATTTATTCTTTTTTAATACATATGGCAAAATGCCTGCTGGAATTTCTTATTACCTGGGAGATGTCTTGTCTCTATTTAAATTGCACAGCATCTCTCTGCCCTGCCTTTTTGAGCTTTTTACTCTATGTTCCATGCTGCTGCACGTGGTAGCAGGGAGAGTATTATAAACTTGTGCCTTTTGAACTAAGAGACAAACTCGAGTCTGATTCTCCCCTTTTGAAATGTTTCCTCAGCATAATAGTGCCTGGATTTTATGTTCCTTTTCGGTTCACCCAACTGAATACTTTTCTGTGGGCTGAAAAGCTGCATTTTGCAGTGTATGCATTTCTTGGTCATTATTATACAGGCTTCATTAAATAGCCAAAATACAATTCCAAGAACTATTGGGTTGTTGGAAAAGTCATGATGCATTTTTGCAATGAAAAACAGAAAAAATACCTCATGACTTTTCCGATAACCCAATAGATACAACAACCATTTCAAGTCCAATGCTAAACAATCACAGAAAGTTAGTCTCTGCTCTTTCTGCAGTCTTGCTTTTCTTGTTTAGTTTTGTTCTGCTTTGTTAATAGAGGTTTACAAGGTTCTCTTTTGTTTTTCATCTGTCTGTTAAGGCTGAGTTACTGGGCGATGCGAAGTTTGTTGTGTTGTTGTCGTTGTTTTGCTGTTGTTGTCGTTTAATCAAAGTGTACCATGAAGTGACAGCTACAGTTTTTGCCCCAAAGTCCACAGAGAAGTCTCTTGTTTGTGGTCCTCTTGTTTCAGTAGTAGTCACCTGACAGTTTCCTATGTAAAGCTCCACGAGAGCTCGCTGTGTTTCCTTGTGTATCCCAGTAACCAGAGAAGCATTTGGCACATAGAAAGTGTTATGTGAAGAGAAGAGAAAATTTTTAAAAACTAAAAGCTCTAAAAATACCACAAGCATCAGCTACAAACCTAGGAGGTCTAAGAGATTCAATTTCAAGTGATTTCCATCAAAAGAAGGGAAAAAAATATGGTGCATTTAAAACTGTACATACAGTATTATCAAACATATTTTTGATAGGACAAAACTTCTGGTTTGGCTAAGTGTTAATGAGAATGGATTCCTTCATTTCTAATTTTATACATCTGATATTTGGAAGAATTTTCACAGACTAGCTTCTGGCTACATACATTTCAAACCACATTTTTTTCTCCACCCTCCACCCCCTAGTCTTGGATGCCAATTGGATACATTTGTTTACAGTATGATCCTTGGCATTGCATCATCTTCATGTCAAGATGTCAGATAAGTTGGGTCAAAGTCCTAAAGGACTATTTCTGGAGCCATTTCTACAAAAGAATGGCTAGAAATAACCAAACCATACATAAAAGTCTCTATCATGCATGTAAATATATCCCACAAAAGCCAAACCAAATGTATATTCAAATCGCCTGACCCTACACAAATGCCAATGGCCACTCAACATTGCTGGACACAAGGGAAGAGTGATGGAAGGGAAGTCAGAGTAGAAACAGATATGCTTAAAATATTTACTTTGGAAAGTTTTACAACTGAGCTTCATTGGCTTTACAGCAAATACACCTCTGATTTGCTCAGAGATGGGCCGGTCACCCATAACTTGGGGAGAGGGCAGTGCTAGTAGGCATCCCAGTCTTTCCTTGAATTCAGATGTAGAGGATGGAAGAGGGAGTGTCTCATTCTGCTGAGGTTGCTAGGCTGAAACGCTATGATGAGGCAGCAATGTGAGAGCAAGCAAGGCCACAAAGAGGGAAACAGCTGAGTGGAGAGAGAAACCCAGAGAAATTACAACATCATTTGAGCTCTTATACTGGGCCCTGCCTGAACCTAGCTACATCTCTGCACTCTCCTGTTCTGAGTCAACAAACTTTTGTTTTAACTTAAGCCAGTTTGAATTCAGGTTTCCGTCATTTGAAGTGTAGGGTCCTTTCTTTTTTTTTTTTCACAAAATAATTTTAATACTTTGTGTGTGGGCTAGCAGCATCTTGCCCTGTGACATTCCTATACATACATAAGCATTTTATCCAAGTACAAATGTTAAAAGCAGAGTAACTTAAGCAATGGCCTATACAAAGGTAAGTCTAATATACAAAATGAAAGGCTGTCAGCATTATCTTGCTAGTAGAAGTCTGAGTCTCATATTGCTGAGAAAAATAAAGTAATTTAAGGGCATATGGATAGTTTCTCCATTGGAGGCCTGGAACATTATTTTAACCAGAGAGCTCGAGCACCCTCCAGTAATAATGATAGTGATACCTTACAGGTGTGCAGCATTCTCAAGTTTCAAAGTGATTTTATACACATTATCTTATTTCATCCTCACAGAAGACAAGCCTTTTCATCAAAGTTTTTCAAATGAAGAAACTGAGACTCAGGGAGTTTCGATCATTTGCCTAAAGTCATCCAGATGGTGTGACACGGGCAGAGCTGGAACAGAAGTCCAGGTCCTGTGCTTCTTGTCCATCAAGCTTTCGGTGACACACCCTGCCTCCCGGGCACACCTGCAGACCCAGGAGCTCCCATGCCCAGCAGAAAGTACACGTGATGTCAGAAGATACACCATCCAACACCTCTGGGCCAGCTCCATTCCTGGCCCATGCCACTAGTGCTTTCTCTTCATTATCTAACCTTCTGGGTTATTGATCCCAGCTACTTGAACTTCTCTGGTTACCTTCTCTTAAACCAAACTTCCAATCCCCTTCCCACAGCCTAACTGCTGAGAATCACAAAGTCCCTGGCCTTTGCTTCAATAACTTGGTATCAAACACTTATTACATTTTTGACCACTGGTTACTCATATCTTCAAACACAGTTTCTACCCTCACCGCTGGGCACTCCCCTCTCTATCATATAACACAGGCTCTTGAATCTTTAAGTCACCTAACTCCAATCCTAATTACTATTGTCCTCCTCTTCTACTTTCATCTCTTTCTGAAGCATTTGGCTGTGTATTATTTATTTTCAGAGGGGATGGGGGGGAGAGGAAGGGGGGGGGCAGAGGAGAGAGAGGGAGAGAGAGAGAGAGAGAGAGAGAGAGAGAACAAGAATCAGCCACGCAGACACCATTGCACCTGTTCACTCTGTCATGTGTTCCATTTTATGAGTGTGGTTGGAAAACAAGTTTATTAGAGCTTAGGGGGCTATTTCAAGGACTT